AAGGTTTTGCCTACTGGATAAAAATTTACATGAACCTTCCAGAAGGTTTTGCCTGCTGGGCTAAAATTTACATTAACCTTCTGGGAGGTTTTCATTGACCTTCTGGAAGGTTTTGCTTATTTTTCTACAAATCCTTCCTTATTCATTTCCAACCCATTCCAAACCTTTCCAAATTCATCCCAAGCATGTACAATGAAGTTTTCTACATTATACATGATCCATACAAGTTCTATCACATTTGATTCATACATTTACATGTCAAAATGTAGTTTTTAACAAATTTTTTACAAAACTTCAAAACAAAAGCCACATTTCGCCTATATTCATCCATGAGGTTCGAATTAGGAGCCTTCCACTGGTGTGTGTCTCGCTCCTCAAATATTTTTCCGTATAGGATGAGCCAATGCCTAGTAGAATGTTTCCTATATAAACTATTCCCCAACCTAAGTGCATATGAATGTTCATGCAAAACACATTACCACCAATAACATCTCAACCACAATATATTATTCAATGTTGAAATCTTTGCATATCATGCCATGAAATGAGATGAGACTCACTTATGCAACTCAACCCGAGTCCTCCCTGACTCCTTTTTCCCCATGTAAGTCATGAGTACAAAAACTGGCTTTCCAAGTCCCGCCATTGGCGTTACACACCTAATGCCTAATTAAAATTCTTTGGGTCTTTCTTGGGGTGGGTATTTATGGACATACACCAATGGTCACCCTACCGACATGGAATTTATGGACTTCCACTAACGGTTTCGCGTACACCGACACACTTTATGGGTTCTTATACCAACAAAAGTGCGTATCCGAATCACCGGGTCTCTCACCTGAGGGATAGTCTAGCCCTTCTTGCTAACCTGACCCAATTCTTTATCCATAACACCGTGCGACTCAGTCAGATTTTCAATCCAACTTTGCCAAGCCCACCATCATCCACCTATTTGGTGTTTGATATCAACCATGCACACACACACCCACACTTATGGCTATGGATGCATTTTTTCCGTACAAATGCAATGTAATACACCATTGCCTAATCCATGTCATGCTCATATGTAAAGAATGCCACATGAGCAAAATTAACTACATTCAAACAAGTTCCATGGCAATTTATATCCAAAGCATATAATCACCAAATTTTCTCATAATGTTATATATCAATGAACATATATCAACCTTTCATTTCCAACAACAACTCACAAGCATGTTATTACATAACATATGCTAACAACACACTTAATTCCCAAGGCATAAAATAAACACATAACATGCCCACATAACACCCAATTCCATGGATCACATTGAGTCTAATTCACAACCCATTTCAAGGTAAAATTTTATTTTACCCAATTTCAATACCCATTTCATCAATTTCCACAACATAGGTAATGATAAAATCTTTTTATCAACATACCCATTACGTACTACACCCTAGGTTGTAAAATAAACCTAAGTAAGAAGGAAACCTACCTCTTAAAGCGTGAAATCAACGTAGAAAACCTTCAAGAACACCAATGGAACTCTAGCCTTGATTTTCCCCAAATCCCATTTTTGGATTTTTGGTAAAACTCATCTTTTTTGGTGTAATTCCATAGCTCTCGCCAAGGAGAACGACTTTCCCTCTTAGCCCGAACAGATTCAACCGCTAGAATTTTGTAGATTGTAGNTCCGAATCACCGGGTCTCTCACCTGAGGGATAGTCTAGCCCTTCTTGCTAACCTGACCCAATTCTTTATCCATAACACCGTGCGACTCAGTCAGATTTTCAATCCAACTTTGCCAAGCCCACCATCATCCACCTATTTGGTGTTTGATATCAACCATGCACACACACACCCACACTTATGGCTATGGATGCATTTTTTCCGTACAAATGCAATGTAATACACCATTGCCTAATCCATGTCATGCTCATATGTAAAGAATGCCACATGAGCAAAATTAACTACATTCAAACAAGTTCCATGGCAATTTATATCCAAAGCATATAATCACCAAATTTTCTCATAATGTTATATATCAATGAACATATATCAACCTTTCATTTCCAACAACAACTCACAAGCATGTTATTACATAACATATGCTAACAACACACTTAATTCCCAAGGCATAAAATAAACACATAACATGCCCACATAACACCCAATTCCATGGATCACATTGAGTCTAATTCACAACCCATTTCAAGGTAAAATTTTATTTTACCCAATTTCAATACCCATTTCATCAATTTCCACAACATAGGTAATGATAAAATCTTTTTATCAACATACCCATTACGTACTACACCCTAGGTTGTAAAATAAACCTAAGTAAGAAGGAAACCTACCTCTTAAAGCGTGAAATCAACGTAGAAAACCTTCAAGAACACCAATGGAACTCTAGCCTTGATTTTCCCCAAATCCCATTTTTGGATTTTTGGTAAAACTCATCTTTTTTGGTGTAATTCCATAGCTCTCGCCAAGGAGAACGACTTTCCCTCTTAGCCCGAACAGATTCAACCGCTAGAATTTTGTAGATTGTAGAGAGAAGGTGGAGAAATTTCTCTCTTTTCCCTCTCTTCTCTATTGGCTAACGGCTGAACACACAAAAAAAGGGGGAAAATTAAATTTTTCCTCCTTTTTATACCCTCAATTTACTTGGCTCACATTGTGCCACATGGCCTTCTTTTTTTTGGGTCCGTTTTAGCCCCGAAATGATTAAATTTTGTTTCGGTTAAAGTTCAAAATATTTTTATTTTAAATTGCCTTAAGTTATTTTTCAACTTCCGAACTTTTATCAAAAATTTCGTTTTTGGGTCACTCGAGACTCGATCGTCTCGCAAAACACGAAAAATTTGACTATCTGAGAATTCGATAAAATTTGAGAGAATAACTAAATTTATCGAGACAAATCCAAAGTTGAGGTCCGTTTCGTTATTCGAGTTCTAGAAAATTTTAGGTTTACAACCCGTACTATAATGGTAAATTATCATTTTGCCCTTTTTCATAAAAAGTTTAAATTTACCCGGGTTTTACAACACCTGTTGAGCTCAGTTGGCTTCCTTATCTTCTTACTGATCTTGGTGTTCAAATACATTGTTGTCCCGTCTTATACTGTGACAGTTTTGGTGCTACCCAACTCTATTTCAGTCCCGTGTTTCACTCCAGAATGAAACATGTTGCCATCGATTTCCATTTTATTAGGGACCAAGTCCAAAATGGTGTCCTTTGTGTTGCTCATGTGTCTTCAACAGATCAACTTATAGATGAACTCACCAAACCTCTTCTCCGTGCCCGCTTTCTTGATCTCAAATTCGAGATTGGACTTCTATCTCAAGCTCCATCTTGAGGAGGCATATCAGAGGATTGTAACAAATCGTAATAGCCCATTAGTTTCTCTAATTTTGAATTCATTCAAACTTGTTGTTCTTTAGATTTAGGAAATAGTTTCCAACTGCTCTATATTTTAGGATCTCAAACAAATGTTTGTTATCCCACTTGTATATTTAACAATTGCAAAATGTATATGAAAAACACAATCTATTTAACAGTTGGAAAATGTTTTCACCATCTGTTATTTTCATCCCCCACTAGAAAAAGGGTCTAAAATTTATAGGTATATAAAACAATCTATAAAAAAAGGACTTATGATTGAAAACGCTCAATATTTTGAAAGGTACAATATTTTAAAAGGCCCTTAAAAATTTGTAAAGGGAGCAAACCCTTTGTTCTGGATATAGTAGTGTGCTCCATTTTTAATTTATTTTGGATTTTTTTGGACATAAATGCCTATTTTGGAATTTCTTGTAATTTCCTTTTGGTGGTTTGTTATGTTGGAGTATTTTAATAAAAATAAAAATATAGTTTTTATTATTTATCTAATTTATAAATCAATAATTTCAAATTTATTTGTATATTCATTTTAGCATAATTATACATATTTATTTTTATTGTCACAAGTTACATAAGTTACAAGTCTAACAATTAGCTTGTGTATAATGAGAACTGATGATGCACAAATTGATTTTATACACCACTTGCCAAGTAATTAATGCAGTAAATAAATAAGGAAAGAATCAACACAATCAAAATACAATTTAAGTGGTTTAGTCAAGGTGACCTACTCCACTGTGAAGGGCTAGGATGCCTTGGGTGTTTTATTGCTTCAAAGAATATTGGATGCTCAAGTGTGAGTAATATGTGAGATACAAGATGTGAGAGATGTCCCCCATGTGTAGGCGGGACTTATAATTTATAGGTTCCTCCTAACAAATTGAGATGCCTTATCAGTAACAAAAAAGCTGATTAGGTGGAGTGGGCACCATCCTCACAACATATGAGGTAGTTGTAGAGAGGGCATGGAGATCTCCTCAAGACCTGGTCCCACGATGGCGTGGATGAGGCTCTCTGATGGCGTTACTGAATCCTTGACTTTAGGATCACGTGACTCTCGGGGCTTTGGTGAGCCTAACTAGATCTAGTTCTCTCCTAGGCCGGACCCACTTTGGCTTGTCTTGGTGGGGCCCACTATCTGAGTTGTGTCTGATCTGGGCTGAGATCATTATCTAAGTTGGGCCATGGGCCGAATCAATGATATACCCCACGCCTCAAGCCCAATGAATTGGGGGAGAGGGCATTAGCTAGTCCAACTGAAGTTGAACTTTTTTCCTCAACAAGGACTTTATGAGGCTCTTTGGTATGGTTTCTCCTCATGGGAACTTCTCAAGGTCAATCCTACTCTAACTAGGATACTTGAATGCCCACCCAATTAGGTAACTTCCAAAGTGAATGGGAGCTCCTTTGTGTCACTCCTACTTCAATTAGGATACTTGAATGCCAATCCAATTAGGTAACTACCAAAGTGAATGGGAGCTCCTCAATCTCAAGCCTTAACCAATTAGAATTGCCAATCCTACCAGGTAACTCCCCACGTTGAGCTATAAATAGGTCCATCCTCATTTCCCTTTGCACCATTCCTTGAGAGGGTTTTTTAGACTAAAGAGTGATGGAAGGCAAAGGTGGTGTGAGTGAAGCAGACACTGGCAAGGCAGGTATGGGCGGCACGGGTACTAGCCGGGAGGTGTTCGTGGGCACTAGGGCGCCGTGGTTGGTGTTGGCACATGGTAGGTGTAGGTACAAGAGGGGGAACAGGAGCCTGGGCGTAGGTGCATGGCAGGTGCCATGACATAGGCATTCGAGCTAGGTGTCAAGAATGAGCTACGCGTAGAGACAAGGGCTGGATAGGTGGTGAGAAATGATGGTGACAATGTTCCTCCTCATCCACGACGACACAATTATCATGATAAAGTAGCTACTGATAATGGATCTAAGGTGAGCTCTATCTCTAGCTCCCTTAACACTGAAGCTAAGATTGCTAGGATTCTATTCAATTTTTGCATTGCTCCTGCGGTGTTGCACCGTATGGATGAGATGGGCAAGCCAACCTCTAATAAATCCTCGGTGGACATTGTTATTTATAAGGAGGTACTTGAGGTGGGGTTAAGGTTTCCCGTACCTCCTCTTGGTTGCTGGATCCTTCAATATTTTCCACTCACGCCAGGGCATTTGTAACCCAATGGTTGGAGAGTTTTGCTGGGATTTCTTATGAGGATGCCTCCCTTGAAGAATTTTCTACTGCCTATATTTTGACTGAAACTCCTGCTCCTAACGTAGGCTAGTATTACTTCATTCCACGGGGAGAAAAATTAATTGTTGGGATGCAATCCAACTACCATAGCTAGCAGGATCACTTCTTGTTTGTAGGAGGAGAGTAGGCTTTAGAGGTGGATAAGGTCTTGGCACCAGTGAGGTGGGGCCTTCCAAAGAGGACAGGTACAACCTCTTTCCCCCTTTTTTTTGGTATTAAACACCTCTTTTCCAGGCTCCCCAGTGCTCTCAGCAGATTAGGACTGGAAGCTTCAAGTTGTGAGGGCTTGTCTCGTAAGGGACTACGAGACCCTCATGCCTAGAAAGGGTGAGGCTACGTACCCTCCTTCGAGAGATGCTAGGGGCGGTGTGTCTTTTTCCAAGGCTAGTAGCTCCTCAAATTTTTCCTTCAAATTTTTCTCTCTTTTATTCTTAGGGTAATACTTTACCCTTCTGCAGTGGATAGGACAATGGTGCAGTCTCGTTATTCCACTAGGAGTACTCCTCCACCCAAGATGGCCAAGGTGGATAATATTCTAGCGGGCCCTTCTCAGATGACCCTTCCAATAGCTCCTCCCCAAATAGTTTTTTCAGTGATTCCTTAAGAGGTTCCTCTAGTTACTGCTCTAGAGGTGACTGCCTCTCTAGAAGCTCTCCATGCGACCACGCCTCCTAGTCCCCTTACATCTAATTCTCTAGTAGGGACTTCTACAGGGGCAGGCTCTCAAATGGTGTCCATGCTACATGGCGTGCAGATCATTAGGAAATGACTTAGGAGATTTGTGTTTCCTATAGAGATTGGGCAGGTTGGTGCTCGGGGCACTGAGGACATTATTGACACTATCCTAGAAGGTTTGGCTCAGGTAAGCGTCTGTTCTCTTCCTTGCCATTGTGCCTCCTTTATGGTGCTGACCTTCCTTTATCTTTTTAAGGTTTTTATTGCTTCTATATGCCTCTTTTCAAGGGTTGTTCAGTTCAACCAACTGCACTCAACTGTGAAAAAGGAGAGGCTTGCTCATGAAACCGTAAAGGGGGAGCTATTGGCAGCTCAAAAGAGGATTTCCTAGCTTGAGGTTGACAGTGAGGCTTCCCAGATGGAACTTGTGGTGACCAGTGAGAAGGCTGCTCTTATTGAGGCTACCTGTTTGTGGGCAGATGCAGAGCTTGGGGTGACCCATGAGAAGACTGCTCTTAATGAGGTTGCCGGCTCGAGGGCAGAGGCCAAGCTTGTAGTGACCTATAAGAGGGCCGTCCATAGTGAGGGCTACTAAGTTGGAGGCTAATGGCGAGACTACCCGCTTGATAGCAGAGGTAGAGTTGGAGGCGGCTCGTGAAAGGGTTTCTCGAGCTGAGGCGGATATGCGATTGGCCCGTGAGAGGGCTACCAAACTCGAGTCTGATTAAGAGGGTGACTTTACAAATGCCTTGACTGAGGACTACGAGGAGCGTAGGGGGAAAATTTCAGTTGCCTTCCCTGATATTGACTTCTTAGGGTTTGTTCCATATGAGGCGCCACAGGGTGATGGTGATGATGATGCACACTCTAATGGTGGAGTAGAGGATGACGAGGAAGAGGGTGATGGCAGTGAGAGCAATGAGAGTACTAAGGACTTTTGATTTTTTTTAGTAGATAGACAGAGTCAGACTATGCTCTGACTTTTGTAATAGTGGCCTTTGCCTTTTAGAGTTTCATTTGAGATTTATTTGAAATAAGATGCAAGGCAACTTTTTGGAGTAAATTTAGAAAATTTTATTTGATGGTTGCTCATAATAAGAATTGGTGGGCAATAATCCCAAAAAAGGTACAAGTCTTTTAATTAAAAAGAAAAAATCAAATCAAATCCTTCAGCTTTATCATTTCTGTCCTCTTCAAGTGTTATTGATAATACCTCTTCAGATGTTCAGTATTGCATGGATGAGGAAAGACCTTTCCCTCAGAATTCTAAATTCTGTAGGTGTCTGTCCTTACTATCTCTATCACAGTGTAGGGCCCTTCCTAGTTTGGTCCTAGCTTTCCCTCTCGTGAGTCTTTCGTGGCGAGTATTAAGAAGGCATGTGCATTAACTTCGACTTGATAGAGGAGGAAAGAGAGATGGTCATGATCCGGAATACAGAGTATAAACGGTGCATGACAAAATACTACAACTCAAACTGATGATGCACAAATTGATTTTATACACCATCTGTCAAGTAATTAATGCAGCAAATAAATAAGGAGAGAGTCAACACAAGAGTGCTTTGGTCAAGGTGACCTACTCCACTATGAAGGGCTAAGATGACCTAGGTGTTTTATTTCTTCAAGGAGTATTGGGTGCTCAAGTGTGAGTAATAGGTGAGATATTAGGCTGAACTTATAATTTATAGGCGTCTCCTAACAGATTGAGGCACCTTATAAGCAACAGAAAGGCTGATTTGGTGGAGTGGGCGTCATCCTCGCAACAGATGAGGTAGTTACAGAGAGGGCTTGGAGATCTCCCCAAGACCTGGTCCCAAGATGACATGACAAATCTCCTCACTCCAGGATGGTATGTATGAGGCTCTCTAATGGTGTTGCTAACTCTTTGACTTTAGGATGACGTGGCTCTCAGGGCTTTGGTGAGCCTGAGTAGATCTTGGTCTTTTCTGGGCCGAACACACTGGGGCTTGCCTGTGTCGGGCCCATTATCTGAGTTGGGTCTGATCTGGGACAGGACCATTATCTGAGTTGGGCCTTGGACTGGTTCCATCAAGAATTATACTGGTGAATTTTAGTGATAAGTTACATATTATAACTTTATTATGATAGTCATTGAGTTGATTTAAGTTGGCATTATATTATGTTATTAAGACAAAATAGGTGTGATTTTTATGATACAAGTAATTAGACTAGTTATTTTGGACAAATGCTACAAGTTGCATAAACCTTTATATAGAAGTCCAACTATTCTATTCTTGGATGTTAAAAAATAACTATTCTCATGTTTCTTTCCCTATTTTCATATTCTATTTATTGGGCAAACAAAGGTGTGAGTGAGTGAAGTTTCTACTTCTCAAGGTTGTATAGACTGAGAGAAGTTAGAGTGAGTGGCTGGGTTGTTTCCAAGAAACGGCGTGTTGTGACCTACTACACTGGAGAATTTATTCATAGAGGCGCGAATTGTCTTAAAGAAAGTGACTTAGTTCGTGGCTCAACTCAAGTGTAATCTTATCAGGTATGAAATATGATGAGCCCAATTCCTATTAGGTCTAGTCCAACCAATCAATGAAGCCCAAATCGGCCACAAAGTAGGTCAAGCCTAGTTCGAGAATTCAATGCAGTCCAAAGCCCAAGGAGTACAAGAAGATTAGAGAACATGGGGAGTAATCATCGGGATATCCACTCTCAAAGATCAAGGCAATCTTAATTACACTTACATATTGTAATTGTCCTCCCGAAGGACTAGTGCCTTTACCCTCACATCACCGCCTTAACTAAGGCTCATGCCTATAAATTTTAAGTCTTCTCCACAAGGGAGAGACACCACTTCACACCTCTAGAGACACCTCTAAATACCTCTACAGAGTTTTACCTCCCTACATCTCTACACACCCCTCACATAGCTTTTCTCTCTTCTAGCTATTGTACCTCTCTCGGAGCACATCTCTCTCAGAGCTCTCTCTTTCTTACCTTATTCATTAATAAAGGCTCACTAGCCACTGTTGCCGCTTTCAGAGTGGAGTAGGCCACCCGGACCAAACCACTATATATCTGCGTGTTGACTGAATATTTACCTTATTGCCATTGATTGCTCCAATAATTGTCCTTTAATTACATTTTATCACACACTCGACTATTGACCTTGCACGAGGTTATTTTGTGCATCATCAGTTTGACAGCATCTGTGGGAAATGACAGAGTTTTCTACTACTTTACTACTCTTTTTTTACATCCATGGCAATCACGACCAGGTCAATGAATCTCCGGTAAGAGTCATTGCCTCCCCTTGCACCCTCGGACCAATCCACTATGACGACTCTCGTGGTCGGGCAACAACTTTTGCAGACCATGCAGCTGCTGGTAAACCAGAACCAACAAATCATTTAGTTGATGCTCGCCTCAGGTGGCATCGCCCTTCAGCCCGTAAGAGGAGCACCAACGGGAGAAGCACAACAACGTCTCCACTCTAGGCGCCAAGTTGTCCCCCACTCTGGAGCCTCGCACCAGAACGCCCCTGGGCAATGCCCAAGACCCTTTTGCCTAGGAGTCCCTCCTCAGCACGCAGGAAGCTCACATGTCCCCCTCCTCATGTACCTGTGCAGGAGGACGAGGGAGAAAGCCAGTATGCCGATCATGAAAGCCATTACAATGACCCAATGGAGGATGTCCCCAACCAATGCGATAAGTAGATTAAAGAGGTGCAAAACCAACACGGTGATACCCTCAATGCCATCAAGGCACAAGTGCCTGAGACGGTGGATTACTTGTTAAGGCACACTGATACCCTATTCGTTGCAGACATTGTCAATTACCCCTACCCTCGAAGTTCAAGATGCCTACCATTGAGATCTTCGATGGTACCAATGACCCTCTGGATCATCTTGACACGTATAAGTCTCTCATGCAACTCCACAACGTGCCTAATGAGATCATGTGTAAAGCTTTCCCTACCACCTTGAAGGGGTATCCTCGACAATGTTTTGGGAAGATCAAACCCTCTTCTATCCACTCTTTTGCAGAGTTAGGCAAGTCTTTCGTCTCTCATTTCATAAGGCAAGCTTGAGAAGCTACCTCACTCGTTTTAACTAGGAGGCTTTGCAGATCGAGGAGCCAGATGACAAGGTCACCATAACCGCCTTTATTATAGTGTTGTGCTCCTCCAGTTTCATGTTCTCTATCCTGAAAAAGCCACCATCCAGCATGCCCGAGTTGTTGTCAAGGGCACAAAAGTACATGAATGCCGAGGATGCCACCAAAGCCAAACAAGGTGAGTTTTCCCATTGGGATAAGAAGAGGAAGGACACCAATGAGGACAAGCAAGAAGCAGAGAACAAAAGGAATAGAACAGAGAGAATCTTTGTCAAGGACCGCCTTGGTACCCTGCCTCTAAGAGAACGATAAGCCTTTAAGCCTCTCAATGTTTTCGTGGAGCATATTGTATTCCAAAAACAGGATAATCCTACAGTACGCTGGCTAGAGAAGATGAAAACTGCCCTGAACCGTAGGAGTCCAAACAAGTACTACCGTTTCCACCGCAATCACGACCATGATACTGATGACTTCTTTGATCTTAAAAGGCAGATCAAGGAGCTCATACATCATGGCCAGTTGAGGCAGTACGTTGCTGGCAGAGGACAAGCCCCGCCACCTGGCCGAGACCAGGACAACAGAGAATGTCATTAACCCCTCGGAGAATCCAAACAATCTCCTAAGGGCTCAGAGGAGGAGGCGACTCCAACTCTGCCAGGAAAGTCTTGGCCCACCTATAGGACGCCGAACACCTAAAGAGCTATAGTGGGTTGAAGCCAATGGCTTTCATTTTATTTGTCCTTTATTGTTTCAGTTGATTTATTTTGTTATTTATTATTTTATGAAATAAAACTCTGCGAAGATTAGTGTACCCAGAACTATCATGCTTTCATTTCATGAAGTTTGTAAACAAATTATAAAAGTCAAAACATAACCAAACAACAAGGTAGACAAAAAGAAAAAAGCCATCATACTCTTGACGATCAGTTATGGTTCCCCGAGCCACTATAATCAAGGCTCTCCCCGTTACCATATACCTATGGTGTCTTATATGGCACGAAGCCAAAGAAATCAACAAGTAGGGAAATCTATCAAGTTCTTCATAACCATTAATAAAGGCGCCTACAGTGGCCCTCTCAGCAACCTCCCTCCTCATCTCCATCTCAATGGAATGAGCCTATGCCACAACAGCCTTTTCTCGAGCTATATGTAGCTTGGCCTCCAGCTTAGCGGCCCTCTTAAGGGACCTCCACAACTCTGACTCTGCTCTAGCCCAAGTAGTCTCCTTATAAGCCTCTGCCACGGCAGCCTTTTCCCAAGCTATACGTAGCTCAGCCTCCAACTTTGCGGCCCACTCACGGGACCTCTGCAACTCTAACTTTACTCTCACGTAGGTAGTCTCCTTATAAGCCTTTGCCATGATAGCCCTCTCTAGAGCTATACGTTGCTTGGCCTCCAGCTTTGCGGCCCTCTCACAAGGATGTCCTCAGCTCTAACTCGGCTCTCGCACAGGTAGTCTCCTTATAAGCCTATGTTACGATAGCCTTTTCCCGAGCTATACGTAGCTCGGCCTCCAGCTTAGCAACCTTCTCACGGGACGTCCATAGCTCTAACTCTGCTATCGTACGCCTCTGCAACAACAGCCCTCTCCCGAGCAATACATAGCTCGGCCTCTAACTTTGCGGCCCTATCACGGGACTTCTGGAACTCTGACTCTGCTCTCGTGCAGGTAGTCTCCTTATAAGTCTCTGCCACGACAACCCTCTCCCAAGCTATATGTAGCTTAGCCTCTAGCTTTGTGGCCCTCTCACGGGACGTCTGCAACCCTGACTCTACTCTTATGCAGACATTCTCTTTATCAGCCTCCAGCTTCTCAGCCCTCTTGTGCATGCCAAAAAGCTCGGTCTCAAAAGGCACAACTCTCTCATAAGCAAAGTTCAACTGCTCCTGATCAATCTCTCGAAGCTCGCCTCTCTTTCACCAGATCCCTGGATGCCTCTCCAAGTTTTGATCATTCTTGAAAACAGGCAAGGAAAAGTGCAACCACCTATAATAATCCAAAAGGCAGAACATGAAGAAAAGGAGGCAAGTACAAAATCAAAGTTAGTTACCAAGGCAAACCCTCCATCGCGGTATTAATGCCTTTTGGACCTCAAAAAGCCAACCTCTCTAATATCCCCAAGAATCGCAAACCTCCAAAGCCACTCCTTGACCAATCTCACATCCTACAACATGGACTCAGAGCCATTACTAGAAGCAGGGCAGCTATGTGGAGCTACAGTCCCTATAGAAGACCCCGTTGGAGTCTCAACTCCTACAACAGTACAAGGGCTAGCATTGATGCACAAGGAAGTTACAGTCTCAAAGGTAATAGGGCACCACCGGATCCTGGTTCTGGGAAGCAACCTGGGCATTGGACGTTAGCTGAAAAGCATTAGAGGCATCAAACCTCGCCCTCTAGGGAGAAGGGGACGACACGTCGCCCAAGCAACCCAAGATGACACTCAAGTGACTTGAGGCAGCACCCAAGAAACCTGAGGTAACGCCCAAGCAACTCGAGACGGCACTCGAGCCACTCGAGATGGCGCCCCAACTACCCGAGATGGCGCCCAAACCACTTGAGACGGCGCCCGAGCCACTAAAAACGACATCCAAGCGACCTGAGATAGCACCCCAACTACCTGAGATAGCGCCTGAGCGACCCAAGATGGGGCCTGAGCGACCCGAGATGATGCTCGAGCGACCTGGGATAACGCCCAAGAGACCTGAGAAGTAGCTTAAGCAACCAGGGGCAGCGCCCCTGCAACCCGAAACAGTGCCTAAGCCACCCGAGAAGATGCCTGAGGCAGCGCCTTCTCCGTTGACACATGTGCCCAGGGTGCCACTGCCAACAAGGCCAGCCCCTCCCTCATCGGCGTCTCCCTTTTCAACGTCTCCAGCAACCTAGCGTGTTGGCGCTGCCCAACCCTTCAATGGCACCGCCCAACAGTTGGCCCGTCATGACTCCGCCTCCAGCACCCTCACTGATCGTCGACCCTAGCACAGCTGTTGCCCATGGCTTTGCCGAAGCCTAGCCCTGAGTCCCTTCCGAGCTCCTTGGTCTCGCTACCTCCTTCCTAGTGGAATTGTTGTTGGAGTCCTTACCCATCGTCTCCAAGCTTCTAGTCTTCATCTTCTCGATCTCTTTTTGGTGAAAAGGACAATGAGCCCTAGTTTCAAGGGAAAGCTTCAAGAAAATAAAAAAAGAGAAAGGGGAAACGGAGTAGAAAGAGTTTATCATAATTTCTATATACAAGCCTTTTAATAAGATATTTTCCAGAAAAAACAAAGAACTTCTCCAAGCAAGACAAAAAACCCAGCAAAAAGGAGGATTGGTAAATGCAATGAATGCTCAATGAAGGTGATTTCAATCAAAGGAAAGCTCTATGAAGATGAAGCTATCACCGTGTGGGACAATAAACCTTTTTCAGATGAAGAACTCACTCATGCCCTCAACCCCATTTTCTTGCAAGCAATCGGGGTTTGGGGCATGTTGGGCAAATGACGAGCCCAATTCCTATTAGTTGTGGTCCAACTAATCAACGGAGCCCAAATTAGCCACAAAGCAGGTCAAGCCCAATTCGAGAATTCAACTCAGTCCAAGGCCCAAGGAGTCCAAGAAGATTAGAGCATGTGAGGAGTAATCATCAGGATACCCACTCTCGAAAATCAAGGCTATCTTAATTACACTTACCTATTGTAATTGTCCTCCTGAATGACTAGTGCCTTTACCCTCATGTCACCGCCTCAACTAAGGCTCCATGCTTATAAATTGTAAGCCTTCTCCACATGGGAGAGACACCACTTTACACCTCTAGAGAGCTCTACCTCCCTACATCTCTAAACACCCTTCACATAGCTTTTCTCTCTTCTAGCTATTGTACCTCTCCCAAAGCACACATCTTCCGGAGCTCTCTTGCTCTTACCTTATTCATTAATAAAGGGTCACCAACCACTGTTGCCGCTTTCGGAGTGGAGTAGGTCACCCGGATCGAACCACTATATATTTTCGTATTGACCCAATATTTACATTATTGTCATTGATTGCTCTAATAATTGTCCATTAATTACACGTTATCACAGACTCGACTGTTGATATTGTATGAGGCTATTTTGTACATCATCAAAATCTACCATAATTTTAAATTGAACGCTGATCGAGATAAAGTACGACAATCCTCTCAATGTCATGTTTATATTTTCTAGGTTGATGTTAATTTTTAATAATATTTGGATTTAATTCCAACATGTTTTGTAACTCGTGTATTTTCTAAATTGTTTCTCCTAAGCATGGAGGCAATTTTGTGTAAAATTATGAGAAAAAAGGGGTATCAACTACGCAAAACCAACAAAAGGACAAAAGAAGATATAATCTTATCTATATTAATGTACAATGTTTTTATCCTGCTAGTGTCGATATCGATAATACAATTCATATTGGTGGTACCTTTAAAAAATATAAAGTATTTCTGATATGTGGAGCTTGTTGTCACTTTATGTGTGCCTAAACTACCCTTAATGTAATCAATAATGTTGTAATTTGTGAGCCATTGAATCAAGAATAGATTATTTTTTAGTACCATACCTACAAACTTTACAATTTTGTGAGTTTTGATACAAATTAATGATTTGTTTACAGTAAAAAAATTTATATTTTTTTTAGGTAAAGTCATAATTTGTAAGGTTTGAATTATAATCTTTTTTGGATCAAATTACAACTTTTAGGACAACTTGCGATTAAGTCTAATAATTTTAAAATTATTTTTTGTGTTATGCAGTGCTGATACACTAAACATTTCTAGTAATTTAATAAAATTTATTTGGTTATTATCTGCACTTATCCAGGCAATACAGTTCTTGTAATCAATTCAATAAATTTTAGCTTGGTAAGTAAGAACTACTTTTTTTTTAAGCTTTTTTTATGATGATAGATAAAAGTATCTCCAACATTGACTCAAATTTTTATTCAAATTTGAATCAACGTTTGAGTAAAAAGTTTCATTTGATAAAAGGACTTCAAAGGACAAGTTCAATTTTTATTTTTTTTAAAAAGAAAAATTCGGAGGCCGGTCTTCATATATGGACTTATTTGGATTTAAGTCCGCTAAAGAAACTTATTTGTTATGAAGTTTATTTTTTGTCAATTTTACCAGTCTAATTATGATTTTTAATACGTGTCTTTTTCTATTTATGTTTTTGGTGTATTTTATTTTATTTTTTTTATTTTACATTTTGTTTTAGTATGAAATGTAACCTTGGCTATATTAATGAGAATTCTAGTTATATTTTATATACATGGGTGTCTTTTAAATTATGTTCATTTTAAATTTGACCGTGGATCTAATTTTATCTTCTATTATATTCACTTAATTAAGAGCAAAAAAATAGTTAATCGCTTGAAGCTTTACATGTTTTAGGAAATTCAATTCTTATTATATTCAACCCATTGAAGTTGCATGCTTTTTAGCTCTATAAATACTGCCAACGAATTGTTTTTAGGCCGGGCTTAGGTAGTCTAGGGCAAAACTCTTTCCCATGCGAGTTATCGGGCGGGTCGGGCCGGACATCAGAGAGGGATAAGTTACTTGCAACCCAACTCGTCACCAATTGGGCGGGGCTGATTGGGTGGGCTTCTTGGGCCTATTTGGACGGATTTTGTTGGGCCTGTTGAGTGGGCTTTGTTGGACGGGCCTATTGGGCAGGTTTACCATATGATGTTGTACATCATTTGGTATTTTTTTCTTTTACATTTTAAATTATTTTTTTTACGCATAGTTCCAAATGTGCTAAGTTTATTTTTAGAACCTATTATATGATAAATAATGTCTAATTTTATCAATTAAAAATCTAATATTATGGAGACCACTTTATACTATGAGATTTATAATATAACACATAAATCTCATATGAAAAAAAAATTACCTTCACATATTAAAGTTAAATAACATTTTAAATGACTTACAATCCCACTATTATTTGTTGCATTATCTAAAGTAATAGTAAATATTTTGTCTTGAATACGATAAATTTGTAATTGATTATAAATAATTTCAAAAATAACTTTTGACAGGATTCTCACCTAACTCTCAAAGTTTGATAGGAACCTCTTAAATTCTGAAAATAATTGTTGGGGCTAGGGAGGCAGATGTTAACGGGTTTTTGTGGGCTAGTTATTGGGCTTCGGGCTTTGAGTAAACCTAAGCCCTTTTTTAAAGAATATTAGGCTCGGGCGGGCCAACTATCGGGTTTATTGAATTTCGGGCTTATTTGTTTTGGGCCGTGTAACAAGACCCGTAGGTAACCCATCCCATAGACACCCCTAGTCCTTTTATTATGTGTTGTGATATGGACGATGAAAACCAGCAGTTAGGAGAGAACCAACGAGGAGGAGGAGGGGAACAACATGAGGGCCAATTTTGAGTGCCATTGTTGTAAATTATCATTCTAATATAGTTTTTGAAGTTGTTAATTGATGGGACTTTAGGCGGCTTGACAGTAATGAATAGACACGTGGGCAGTTACATCCATTAAGGCATGCAAAGGGCACCTGTGAAAGGTGCCAATGAGTTATGTTAGGAAGGGCCGAGTATGCGCCTCATAGCCTAGCATTAAAAAGGATCTGACAACTCATCAATGATGTCTTGAGTGGCTATAACAGAGTCATTAATGAGTGTCCAAATCTTCAAAAAATGTGAAGACAGTCATCATTACAAGGCATTAATGACTGTTATGCCGACATGAAGTCCTTGGTTAACCACAAGGGTGCTTGCTCTCGACTAGTGAACGCTCAGACGTAGGTGTTAGGCATTGAGAGCAAGTATTTAATGACCGGTGGATGGATCATGAATGCTCAGCGGTTCCTGAGCAAAGGTTCACTCGCTCGAGGAGACTAGTCTTCAAAAGATTTGATGAGATGAAACTCATTATGCTAGGATATGAGTGCAGACCATTAAATTCTAAGATGAGACTCAAAGGCACTGTTATCACTTCCTATATAGCCATGACTTACATAGGTAGACAACCGTGACATGCTTTATGGATACCCAACCTTTGAATCTGAGAATGATTGTAGTTAGTGTCCTCCAATGCAACCGAAAGCCATGACTTGCAAACCGAGCAAAATCGAAAATGGTCAGAAAGTTGGACCATGAGGTCCAAAATTGATGCAAGAATGTCTTTCGGAAGCCCTGCCCAACCTGGAAGTGAAAAGGCCATCCTACTTTGGTAGGAACACTAGAAACAGAAAATTAGAATCAATTGAAAATTTAAAAATAAAACCGAAAAAAAAAAAAGTGTTTGAAAGATCTTAATGCAGATATGGAAGCGGATTAGATACCTTTGATACGAGCAATCTCTATAAAGTGATGAAGTATTAGTGAAGAAACAAAACTAGAGGAGATATGGAAGACTAATGGTTGAGGAGGAATGTCTTATTGTTATGGACTTGTAGGAGATGGGTAAATATACACCACGGTTCCTTCATGTACAAGACTTCTCCTCCTCCTAAAGGGGGAAACCCTATTCCTTGTTGGACTTGTTGGAGGTTGTTGTGATAATCTTGACTTGAAAAATGTTTGGACATTGGCATGCGATATGACAAATAATGGGCATGCAATTTGAGTGAATTTAAATAATTATTTTTAAAAAAATGTTGGATGAAAGTTAAATAGTTCAACGTTATTGAGATTCACCAACTTTGGGGAGTTAATGCTATTGTGACAATCGAATTAACAGTGGGTCTAAGCATTGGAAGAAATTTATTTTTAGGAAAATTAGTGAAAAGTATAAGGTAGGGATATTTTTAGTTAATAAGTGCAAACAGAAACTAACCACTAGTATACTCCAGCTCGAAATTGGGTTTAATCCACAATTCAAAGGGAAAATAGAAAAAAGGAAAAAGAAAAAAAATCAATCAGTACCCATGAACTAGGCACTTTTCCACAGAACTTTGTTTAAGCACAAAGTCTCAAAGGTCATGCTTATTTTTTATTTCTCGCGCAGTTTATCACTAAAGCAATGATCAAAATTTTGTTTCAGCGCATTATTTCGGTCACCTAAAAAATAAAAATATTTTGACATATTTAAAAAATATTTTGACCCATTTCAAAAATAGAATAAAAAAATAAAAAATTTAAGAATTATTTTTTCAATACATTTGTTGAAATATACCAAAGTATCTTGAAATATTTCGAAACAATTGTATAAATATATTGAAATATTACAAAACACATCAAAATATTACTAAAAACGCAAAAAACATGCAGCAAGCATAAACCAACATCGAAGGCAAAATCCATTAAAGTTGCAAGGGTGCCGATGGTGCTCTGCTCCCCTCCTCCTTGCTGCCCGTTCCATTTGTTGCTATCCTACTCCTTCTAGAAGGAGTCAATTTGGAAGGACTATTGGTTGCCTGTCGAGTCCCAAGGTCACTAAATAGATAAAAGAAACTACATTGAAGAACTTACCACACAGAAAGAGAAAAATGAAAAGGAAAGAAATGTCAGTGTGATGCCCCAAAAATCGGGGTGCTTTGTCAACTCGTTGATCACCCATCAACTCGTGGATACCTGTAGATATCATGTAATTCGATATCACGTCATTATGTCCCATTTATCGGAATCCATCATTTAACAAAATTCGGACAGAGTCTCATTTGTACGGGGAACTTTACCCAAGATACAACCCGTGTAATTATATAACATTGACCACATTGGGTCCATTAATGAGTAAACATTGATCACACCGGGTCTATTTATTCATATTCATATAATAACATTTAATTATATGACTCATCCGAGGTCTAATATATATCAATTCATACTCCCACATCTTGAATTTATGCAATAAACATAGTTAATACAAGTTCAAAATTATAATTTTTTTACATACATTACATGCCCAAAAACTAACTTTGCAAAAGTTTTACAAAAGTGGATTAAAAGTCACAAGTTGGCATTTCTTCGTTACTGGGGCCCCGAATAAGCACCGTTCAATGGCGTGTATCCCCCACCTGAAATGTTTCCCCACATACAACAATCAACAACCATTATTCATTCCAAACAAGAACATGTAATTCAAGATTGAAATTCTATCATGTCATGTCATGACATAAGATGATACGCACTCATGCACTTTAACCCGAGTCCTCACCAACTTCCACAACACAATGCAATGAACGTGTGTAATACATTTGTCATTGATAAAACACATCCAATAATTTTTTGAAATAAAAAGTCATGTGTTTATAAAGCCAAGTCATTGTTGGATGTTACATATTAAATGAGTATTTTTATAAAACAAAATCTTGTGTCTTTGTTGGGCAACGGATTTTGGTATCACACTGCCGATTTCGTACACCATTATACTTTTCTGAAATTTCACATCAGGAGAGTGTATGAACCAAGTAGCCAGGTCTTACACCCGAAGGAGAATCTAGTCCTTCTTGCTATATCTAACACAAGCTTTTCATGCAACCATACAACTCAGCCGGATCTTCGATCCAACCTTCCCGAGTCCACTTATCAAAAATCAAGGATGGTGTTTGATCAACCATGCACTCACAACTACACTCATGTCTTATGCCCATGAATGTGATGTCAATATCATGCCCAAAATACAATGAATGTCAAATGAACAATTTAACCGTACATCAATATACCAAGGCCAATTATATCATGTGCATATAATTACCTTTATCTATCACAATGGCAATATATCAATGAACATATATAAACATTTTATACTTAACAACCAAACATAAGAATGTTATTACATAATCTATGTCAATAACACACCTTATTTACAAAGGCACAATATAAACACATAGCATGCCCACCAATGTCAAATTCCAAGAAATTACACAAGTAACTTCCATACATCAAACCCAAGCTAGAAATTGGTTTAAAACCATTTCCATACTCATTTCCTCTTTTCCATAACCATAGGCAAGTCATAGGTCATTCTATACACCTAAACCACTCCTATGGACACCATAGGATGAAAATAAACCAAAATAGGAGGAAACCCTACCTCTGGAAGTGTAAAATGAATGGTAGAACCTTCAAGAACACCAACCACAACTCTAAACTCTTGATTTCCCAAAATCTCTTATTTAGATCTTCGATGAAATTCTTCATTCTTGGTATGGTTGCATAGCCCTCATCGATATGATCAACTTTAACTCTTGGCCAGAAGAATTTTGACCGGCGGGACTCCGTGAATCGTAGAGAAAAGCCTTGAAATCTTCTCCTTTTCCTCTCCTATCTTCCTCACATGTTTACACACTGAATTCAGAAGATATTTCTTCCAAAAATTCATATTTGTACCGATATTTATAGCCCTTGATGGTTAGTGCACATCACACCACACGCCCCCCATTGTCCAGGTCCGTTTTCACCCCGAAACGATTAATTTCATCCTGGTTTAAGTCCAAATTATTTTTATTTGAACTTTCTTTCAATTGTAAGGAAATTTGGTAAATTGTGTTTTTTTGGGACGTTTGTGAGGTCACCCAACACCCTGTTGTCTCGTGAAACGTGAAAAATTCGATAATTTCGAAATTCGACGAAAATATTTTAGGCAACTTGGTTTCACGATACGAATCCAACGGTGAAGTCAGTTGTGTCATCCGAGCTCTAGAGAAATATGTATTTTAAATCTGCATTATAGTGACAAATTATTGTTTTACCCTTTTTCAAAAAAAATTTAAATTTACCTGAGTTTTACAGTCAAAAAAGCACACCCACACTAAATGGTAAATAGTAAATACAAGATATAACAACATCTAACTCCTCCCTGGGGTTGACAAGCTTTGTTGTTACTTCTTAGTGATTATGTCCCAATGCATGGAGAGCTCCGCTTTATTTTTTAACCTCTTTCCGCAAGTATCAATGCGACAGGTAAACTTCGCCTCTCGAAGCTTCGTCTTTTGGCGTTGCACTACTAGGTTTGTGGGCACTAGTTTTTTTTTTGCAAATGTTGTAGAACCCATTAAAGTCGTGATGATGCTCTTGCTGCTCAGCTGCTTCAATGTTGGTCTTCAAAGAGAAGTGGTTATGCAAAAAGAAAATCGCTGAGAAAGAAGTGATGTGGTGGCTAAATGTATAGACATCCAACACCCCATGTTATAGGCACATTGTTTTTAAACATTCTTCAGCAAGTATCGAACAACTTTGTGCAATATTTTTTTTTTATATATATTGCAGTATCTGTTAAAAACGTGAGACGCTCATGCTGTCGTTTACATTCATTTACCTCCTTGTGCAAATAACAACATGAGCACCAACACAACTTTAATGGATACTTCAATCTATGCAAAGAGCAACATGAACATCCTCAAAACATAGCAAAACTGCAGCTCTCCTATTCTTTCTTATGTTCTGGCAAAGGTTTATGAAAGAAAAGAAATTAACATATCTGCTAGTTTCCTGTTACCAAGGGGCAAATCAGCAAGCCAATAACCGTTTAAAAACCAAAGAAAAAAGCTTCAACTTTCCTCTCAATCTACGAAGCAAAAAGGTTATTGAAAAAAAACTGATAAGAAAAAAGTGAGGTGGTGGATGAATGTAAAAGAAATATAGTCCCCATTTATAAACAAAATATGTGGGTTGGTGTGTATAAATGAATGAAGAAGGACATGTGCTTTTAAGTCATGGGACCACCATGTTAAATTTGGGTTAGCTAAAATAGTAAACTTGCAGACTGAATCATGTAAAAGTTGGAAGTGACTATTTAGCGAATAACTGTGATGGCTCATGAGCTAATTAACAGTGGAACTGACAAGTAATCAATGTTTGAATTTAACTTGATAGCGTGAGAAAATCGAGAAAATTTGTATAAGTTTAACACATATTTTGACAATGTTAATTAGTGTTAACACCCAATAAACGACTGATACAAAACAACTTGTGGGACACATAAGTTGAATATCTAGAAAAATAATTATGATAAAATAATAAGTGTCGGCCATTCCTTGAGCATGTATAATTTTTGATTGCTAATATATACCACCCGATACTATCATGTGATGTATTAAAATCACACAAAAATTTCCCGAGTGAAACGGTTCCGTCTTTCGAGAAAAATTTAATTTTGCCCATAATACCCTCCCAGGCAAGTACATTGCATCTCAGGTTAGCACTGTGCCATTGTGGTCCCATGAGTTAAAATAAGGGGACACTCCTCCATTTTATGTACTTTTATATATTAGGTATTTGGCCAAGCATGACCCCTAATTCCACTCTGAGTACGTTTTCCTTCTAACAATCTTGTTTCCTTCTTTGGACGTCAACTTTATTTATTAACATGAATACGTCACGAATCTGACATAAATGTTAGTGTTGGAGATAAATAACATATATTGTCTCCATTTTTTGAATAGCTTTTTGAGAGAAATATAAACTTTTTACTCACTATCCTCTGAGATAGATATGTCTTTTACAACCATATTAAGAATCAAGAATATCAATTCGATTAAAACCCATTTGAAGAAGAGCACCCAACCATCACAAAAAAAAAAAAAATTGTGGCCAATCACAGGGCAATTACAACAATTTAATCTGTAAATTTAAACACAAAAAATCATAAATATGCGAATCAAGATCAATCAGAAAATTCTAACACAAAAAAAAAGAAGTACAAAACATGCAATTACTTATTTTATTCTCAAGAAAATGTATTTGCTTAATATTCAAAATATGCATATGCGGACCCCTGACACCTTCTTGCCTCCTACCACAAGAACAATGACTATCAGCTACAGAACAAGAAGATATAGCTGATTGGACACACATAACATAACACAGTGCCCCATTGAGAAGCATCTGGTTGTGTGAAAATAGAAGTTCACAACTGTTCATCAACATGCTTGACCACAAGAAAACTGCTTCTTGCTTTTGCACTTGCTAGGCTTTTCTTTCTATAGCTCATGTCCATTGTATAAGATACAAGCTAGAGTTGATCAATCCAGCTCAATGACAACAGTCCTGACCTTGGAGCTTTGTTCAAAGTTTAGCTCATTTAGCTATCCAAAGTTGGCTTGTGTCAAATCCTGCGTTTGGGTGAAAATGAAACTCTCTGTTCTGTCACATGAAACCTATTAGTTTTTGTTCTATGAATTTACATAATGGCCACCTCTCTAAGATTTTAAGTATTAAAAATGCATTCTATCCCTTTCGACCCAAATATGATGTAATGTTTGCCTTTTATAATTAATTTTGGGGACTACGACAAACCACGAATTAATTTTGGGGACTTCAACAAAATATTATATCATACTTTGTTGCCTTTTTTTTTTTTGGTCAGAAATATAAACTTCATTCACTGAAACATCAAAGATTACATAATGCCTAGCCTATACCAACTTTTTCTTCCAAAAATATGATTTCCAAAATCTATATGGGTGGTTCTATTACCCAATTGGTAGTCAAAAACCCCCTCCTAGCCTGAGTAACAACTGTATGCACTTTGTTACTGAGCAACAGTTATATAATGAAGAATACAAGCAATAGATGTAGCAAAACTAGGACTAAAAGAAGTAGTAAGCATAATCAACATCAAAGGAAAACTAGTGGAGTGGCTTGATTCGGATAGATAGGTTGAATGACATCTTCTCTCAAATTTGGGACAATCCAAATTGGGGCACCAAGTGCTCTGGATCTGGTATGTAATGCGACCCAAAGCTCCCCACCGTTAAGTTGAAGACACCTGTGTCATCATCAGGACAATGAGGAACATAATTGCCAATTTCAAAATAATGATCCGAATAGTGAATACAATTCGGAGAGCATCCAGAAAAATTTGAAGCCAAAACAACTAAAGAATCATTGTCCCCCAAGAATAACGCTTGCTCATCCAAGCTCTTGATTTCAAGCCACAATGGTTTTGTCATCCCATCTGAATATGATAACCTGAAAACCTTGAAATCTGCTGTCTTACAATGTAGCTGGTCATGTTTGTTTACTTCCAAAATCCTTTGGGCCATTAATAGATGTCCCTCTTGTGATTTTACTAACTAAGTTATTAGGATAAATTCAATCTTTCTTGGTTCAATAACAACTTTACTAGTACCATTGATAACATCAACTCACATGAGTCCACCCCTTACAGTGACACCATGGAGTCGACCTTCATAGTAAATAGCATCAGAAAATAAGTAATCTTCTTTCAAATCCAAGAAAGTCCAAGCTTCATCCCCTGATTTGAAGGATGTCAATGTTCTCATGCCACCATAAATGACCACAACTTCATAATTGTTTGCATCTTGAGAAGGATCAGTAGATAATATACCTTTACAAATGAAATATTCATTGTCATCTTTATCAATCTAGTACTGGTAATCATTCAAAATATCTTTGAATTCTGGGAGGTGGATAGTTCTCCCATTCAATGGGTTTAAAAGAGTTATGATCATAGGTTTTTTCATAATGAATAATCACCCATGTGAAGAGCCAAAACACCGCCTTTTGTAAGGCATTGGCAATTGTAGATCATGGACTACTCCGTCAGTCACACAATAAAAACATTGTTTTTCTTTGGTGTTATTTGTGAGAGTGACCATCAACATAGGTCGTTGACCATGATATTGTTTAAGGATAGACAATCTTAATTTCCGAAGGTGGTGGTAGTTATTCTCCTCCAGAGCAACCAAACGCCATGGTTTACAAACTGAACAAAATTGAATGTAATCAGAAAAATGGATCATGCAGTCAATGATGTCTTTTCGAAGTCTTGCCCAACCTAAACCTGAAAGCAACATCCTCTACTTTGGTTGCCTGGAGACTCTGACAAAACACAAGAAACTGAAGCTTAAAATTCCTTGCAATATGTAGGCTGCACTACTCGTGGCTTGTGATTAGAGTTATCAACTTTATTAGGGTATGGCCTCTCTCTCTTGCTCTCTCTTTCCCACACACATACATATATATTATGATTGGGGTTAGTAATTGTTATCTTACTGCATTAATTAGTGTTATCTTAATTACATAAATCTTTTGCATCTCTCTCTTTGCACCCATTCTTCTCTTTGAACCAACAAAGCCTTGGCTACCGGCCATGAACACCTAATGTCTTATTATTATCTGCCTAATTTTCACATATTTTACTAAAATAATTGAGAAAAAAATAGGCCGGGTTCAAAATTCTTGCTTAAACCAGCATCTTCATTGGTTTACGCATAAAGAAAAAAAAAAGTTCAACTAAAAAAAAAAGCTTTTTTTTTTTTGATATGCCACTTGTCCCGATCACCACATTATTACCACACTCACGTACTGAACTATGCTAGCTCTTGTGCATAGCTGCCTCTGCACACAATGGAGTAAATCTATGGGTTGTGGTCACTATGGACTACACTTCGTGAGATATTCGAAGTCCTAACTTACCTCTCATGAGAGGTTTATTGGGTTGCTGAGCTACCACTAGCCTAACCCTTTAGGATTGTAATTAAAACTTTAATGGGCTAAAAAATGTGTTTCACAGAAAGTAATGAACTTAATAGGCATAAAATAGATTATATTTGTAAGTCTAAATTTAGTGTTTTTTTTATTTATAAATTTAGTGTTGACTGAAGCATCTACTATTAGGAAGACATATAGCAATATGCAAGGAAACCTATAACTAAGGACAAGGAGGTACAATGATCAGCTAGGTTGAATAATATGTGTCTCAAATTTGGGCAATCCAAATTGGGGGCAGCAAGGAATAATTAGAGGGATCGGGTGTGTAATACGCCTTGAAGCTTCTATCCATCAAATTGAAGACCCCTGTGACATCATCAGCTCCATGAGGAACATAGCTGCTAATTTCAAAATGATGATCGGTATAATATATATAATTTGGTGAGAAACCAGAAAAATCCGATATAGAAACTTGTAACACCCCAAAACACACCCTGAACGGCATTACATTCTAAAACCATTCATATCATGAGAGCACTAATATAATCCCTTAAGAAACAAGATTTTATTTGTCATCCACGAATATTTACAACATTATCCAATAGAATAAGCCTAAGTCATGGCTATTATATCTTAAAAATTAATTAAAGAAGCGCAGCGGAATAAACAAAAGAAGCTAGACTACACAATGTTCCAAAAGAATGTCCTAGTCTAGTACAAAAGGAAAGGAGGTCGTTTTATGCATCCACCTCGTGATCCACACTACTGTCTAGTAGAGTCTCCCAAGTAGCGGGCTCCTCGACCCTTACGTCCTCCTCCTCAAGCGGGTAGTCTGAAAAATGTTAGCGATAGGGAGTGAGCACGAAGCTCTGTAAAAAAATTCTCTCAAATCCATACAAGGTTTAGAAAAGCATTTAAACGGTCGGTCTCAATTTTAAGATAACATAGATAGATAATTTGAAATAAAGTAGTGACATCTAAAAATGATCTCAAGTTTATTTAAAAACATTACTTAAATGAATAAACGAGCACCACATACAAATAATAACTATTAATTGTCATAACCAATTCCCAACAATTCTTTCGGTAGGTGGCATACTTTGTGGTAACCTCCACCTCCTTTTAGGTCACCTTTGATTCTCAAGTATCCTTACCAGGAACCTCTTAAGAATGGATGAGCATTCTTACATGGAACCTCTCACCAATCACTACATTGTTTCCAAAGCATCCTTATCGAAAACCTCTTGGGAAGGGGTGAGCATCTTTACAAGGAACCTCTCACTCATTTGCATCACAAACAACCCAACGAAGCATACAATTCCAACATTTATCTCAATTTACAAGCATCTATCCAAAATCCCCAAAATATATCATGTAACAATTTCACAATCAACTAAGAAAATACATAAGATCACAATAACATCATTTTTCTACCCAACACAAAGTACTAAGGTTTCGAAATCCATAATAAAGAAAGCATTTCTGAAGGAAATACATTACTCTCCAAAAATTAGGGTTTTAAAACTAGAAAGGAGATTTCATGGGTATTAAACCATACTTTGTTCAAAATATGTAATCCTTGCAAAAAAGTTTAAGAGAGGATGATTCCATAGCATATATATATACCATTGATGGCCAAAACAGACATATATAATTACCCTAGCCTCAATATAAGTGAATGAGAGAAATCCTCTACTTTAATCATTAGTTTATAGGAAGAACTTGAGCTTTGATTTTGAATCTACCCTTAAATCTCTTGTTTTTTCCTTCCTTTCTTCCTCTCTAATGCTCTCTAGAGTTCCAAGAGGTGTGGGGTGAGAGTAGAGTGAAAGAAATGAGGGCAAATGGGATGAAAATGGGGTTTAAAACACCTCAACCCCGAAATTCACTGTTCACACCCTATTTTGGTTTTCTCCAAAATTACCGTTTTACCACTAAGAATCTCTAATTTGATCCATATGACTACCCTAAGGTTTTTCGACATTTCAGATTTATTTTTAATGTTATTTTAACCTACAAACATTTATGTTTATGATTTATCTCAAAACCAAAGTCAACGTACATCCGAAACACTAAAGTTTTTATTTTACTCATTCGAACAGGCTATTAATGAAGTTTTGTGTTGTTTGCAAATAAAAGGTGATAAAGAGTGCTTCTTAAAGCCTTTTATACTTATTTGAAGCCTAAATGTACTCATTATTCTTATATTTTGATTTATGATGCAAATAGAGACGTTAAATGCAAAACAAAGCTAATTGGACTGTTTTGATATCGCTTCGTTATCTGGGCTTACCTCTCTCATCCGAGCTTTGATTGAAATGATTCAAGATGCTATGGAATGATACAAAAGAGCTCTAAAACTTTTATGTTTTGAGGTTTGAGAGATATTGACTGCATCATGGTCTAAATCGGGCTTGAAGTTGCAGCCAGTGCACTGTTCAAGCTAATTGGGCTGTTTTGACATCACTTCGTTATATAGGCTTAACGCTCTCATCTGAGCTCCGATTTAGATGATTCAAGATGATATGGTATTTTAAGAAAGAGCTCTACAACTTTCATGTTTTGAGTGTTGAGAGATATTGACTGCATCAAGGTCAAACTCGCGCTTGAAGTTGCAGCCAGTGCACTGTTCACGTGAACTATTCACGTCCTGTTTCATCTCTTTTCCATTTCTAATCCATTCCTAAGCCAACCAAATACCTCCCAAACCTCTCCAACACATATTTCTACACCAAACCTATTTAATACAAGTTCTAGGACCTAAAACTTCATATTTTCACTTATTAAAACCAAATTTCAACTATTTTTTCCACTAACATTTTAAATCTTTACTTTTCCAATCTACCAAATTCAAACACACATCACTACATATATCCACATTTTTTTTATCACAATTATTTACTATATATCTATATACATATATAAAAGAAAATGCAGGGTGTTACAATCCACCCTCTTTAATGAAAGTTTCATCCTCGAAACTTACCTCAAGTAGCGAACAAATAGCGAACAAATATGGATACTTCTCCCGCATTTCTTGCTCCGGTTCTTATGTAGCTTCCTCCACTCCATGGTGTTGCCACAAAACCTTCACCAATCTGATAACTTTGTTATGAAGCACTTTTTCCTGGGCGTCGAGAATTTCTACTGGTTGTTCTTCGTAGGTTGCTCCGTCTTGAATTTCAATCTCCTCCAAGTTCACGACTGGAGTTGCATCCGAGTGACACCTTCTCAACATGGACACGTGGAACACATCATGTACTCCGGATAGCTGGGCTGGTAGTCGAAGTTGATATGCCGCCTTGCCTACCGCTTTGATTACCTCAAACGGCCTAGTATATCTTGGCGCTAACTTCCCCTTCTTGCCGAATCGAAACACGCCCTTCTTTGAGAAAGATGTAGTCTCCCACCTTAAATTCTAAGGGTCTTCGTCTGTGGTCCACATAGCTCTTCTATCTACTTTGCGCCGTCCATAGCCTGTCTTAGATGAGTTGAATCTTCTCTGTAGTTTCTCAAACAATGTCCGGTCCAAACAAACTACTCTCGCCAACTTCTAACCAACACGTCGGTGATCGGTATGGTCTTCCATACAATGCTTCATATGGTGACATCCCAATACTTTCCTGATAGCTGTTATTGTATGCAAACTCCACCAACGGTAAGTGGTCGCTCCAACTCCCCTTGAAGTCCAACGCGCAAGCGCGTAACATATCCTCTACAATCTGTATCACCCTCTTGGATTGGCCATCCGTTTGGAGATGAAAAGTTGTACTCAAGTGTAGCTCCGTCTCCATCGCTTGTTGTAGACTCTGCCAGAATCTCGCCACAAACCTAGAGTCAGGATCCGACACAATCGAGAACGGAATGCTGTGTAACCTCACTATCTCATGGATATACAGCTGGCTCAAAGTTGTGAATGTATTCGTGGTCTTCATACCTTTGTGAGTCTATCCACAATGACCCACACTGCATTATGCCCACGCGACGTCCGTGGTAAACCCGACACGAAGTCCATGGTGATGTGATCCCACTTTCACTACGAAATAGGCAAAGACTGTAGGACTCCTCTTGGCCTTTGATGCTCAATCTTCACCTGCTGGCACACTGCACATTTTGCCACATACTTGGCCACATCTCACTTTATTCCCCTTCACCAGTATTGATGCTTCATGTTCCTATACATCTTTGTGCTACCGGGGTGGATAGCAAACTTGGAGCGATGACACTCTTCCAGTATTTCCTCCTTTAGGGACGAATCATCAGGAACACATAGCTTCTCCCCATATCTCAACTCTCCATTCTTCCAAGACCATCCTTCAATCGCTNAGTATCTCCTCCTTTAGGGACGAATCATCGGGAACACATAGCTTCTCCCCATATCTCAACTCTCCATTCTTCCAAGACCATCCTTCAATCGCTTCTCCATTCTCCAATCAGGCTCTAATCCAATCGAGTTCCGAATCCAGCCATTGTAACTCCACTACCCGTCGCAGAAGCGTTGGTTGAGCTACAAGGTTAAATAGATATGGTTGATACTGCGGTCCATCCACCCATAGATCGTACTCCTCCAATGCATCAATCATTTTCCATCTATTTATCGCAAAAAAATTGATTTCACCCTGAGACTTCCTGCTAAGAGCGTCGGCAACTACATTGGCCTT